GATTGAGTATTGGAGACAGCAATTACCATCGCCAATTAATGCCTAAAAGTTATATGCATAATTCAAGAGTCCAGACTATCGCATGACTTCTACTAGATAATAGATGTAAGCGATAACGGTCACAAAGTCGGTTGGTATTTATGGCGAAGAATGGCTAATTAGTATTTTAATTTAATTTCTGTTTAATTCTTTTTTTGAAATTCCAACTCCTATCTCACACTTTTGTCACAGTCAAAAAGGAAAAAAATGTTAATTATTAAGACAATTTTTATTATCAACATAATTTATTAAGCATTTTAGAAAGATCACTTTATTCGTTATTGAATAAACTTTTATATATATATATAAATTTTTTCAAGGTGTTCAAGAAAATCCTACAACTTATAATGTTACTTACGACTATCCCTCCAAAGAAAATTGGGAGACTGCTACTCAGCATTATTACAAAAATCCAGGTAAAGTATGCATGTTCATCTATATAAATATGTCTATGGTTCGAACATATTTGTTTGAAATTCTGATCACTAATGACTTAACTTACTTGACCTAATCCTGTGCACTCCCAGGGGAGCATAGGGCCGCAACCACACCTCTCCACCTAACTCGGTTCTGAGCGTCATTCTTCATCTGCTCCCATGTCATTCCAGTACCCTTAGATTCACTGACCTCATCCAGGTTTGCTTGGGTCTGCCCACTTTCCTTGTGGGTTCCAGTCAAGTGCCTGCCTTGCAACATTGGTAGCTGGAAAAAACAAATAGACCTTTAAACCCCCCCCCCCTTTTTTTTTCCTTTTTTCAGCTAACTCAGTAGCATTATTTCTTATTACGAATTTTAAAAAATCAGTTTTTAAAAGCTTCAAGTGGTAATTTAAGTCAAACCCAATTCTTATACGATATTAAAAAATGCAACATTTTTTTTTCAGAAAATATCCCAGATTACGTCACTCCTGAAAACACACTTTATGAAGGTATTCTGATTTTTTAAAATGTTTTTCTTCTGTAATACAATTTCAATAGCGCTAGTTCAGTCTCTTAATCACAGACTCATCACTAATTCTCCCACTTGGGGTAGACAGAAAAAAAAACATTAAATTTTAACAAGTTGTTACTTACTCTGTACCCGAAACAACTAAGCCCTTTTCACAATCGAATCAGCAGTGGTTAATTTTCCTCCAAACGATTTTTAATCGTATTTTCGTCCAAATACGTAGATCAACATCTAGACTTAAATTTAGACTTAAGACTTAAGACTTTGGTCCTCCCGCGCCGCTCGGCGCACAAATCGGCAAGCTCAAAAAGATCAGTCCTAGGTGACTTCCACATTATCTTCTCAGCCTGTGGCTACGAGCTTTAGGTCTATTTTGGTAAACGTGTTATGTCATGTTTAAGGCTTTTGTTTCGCGAATCTCATACTACAGCTTTTCAACTTGTTCCAAGCTCTGAATTAACACGGTTGACAAAGATTACTGTTGACGGTCACGTGACTTGTACCCTACACGCTCGGCTGGATTTAAACATGTTGAGGCCCAGGGGCAGAAATTTGTGGAGGCCCCTACAATTTTTCAAAACCTTTAATAAAAATCCATTTATGAATAATGAAGTTAATATCTAGAAGTGTGTCATTTTTTAGAAGAAAGAAATAGAACACTTGTAAATTTAATCCATTTTCCTACTTTTAAAAAAAAAAGTACAATTTCTATATTGTGAGTTTATGGAGGGTAAGGCCCTGGAAACAAGGAAATCCAATGCCGAACTGGGAGTCGAACACTTAGTGATGTTGTGACAGAGCGTCGCATGAGGTTTGCGGGACAAAATGAACTACGCATATCAAGAGCTGCGATGACATGGAAGCCAATACGAGGAAAGCGCAAACTTGGCGCCACACCCTCATGGAGGACCTCAGAACAGTGGACACCAGGACACCAGGTGGACACCAGGTGGGAGGAGGCTTCAGACATTGCCAATGACAGATCTTTAAGGAGACAGCTTGTCGCCCAATGCGCCGAACGGAGCGGGAGGAGCTAAGTCTAAGTAAGACCCTGGATGACCAACTGCCGTAGATCCGAAACTGCATTTCTTTACCACGAGCACGGTACTAGCAGCAGTCACTTCTTGTTAATCGTGAGGTTGAAAGTAATGTCAGTAAAAAATGCGATGAAAAAAAAAAAAAAAAATTAAATGTAAAAGTTGCTAAGTCGTCAACATTTTGAGGCTGTGTCACAGGCTCTTGTCACAGGCTGTTAAAATCTTTATTGTGGAGGTCCCATTCTTGTGGAGACTCCGGGGCAGTAGCCCCGTCTGCCCTAACCCAAATCCGGTCCTGCCTTTACGCATAACTTTGGTTTTGAGATGTATCCGAAGGCTGATTTTTAATTGCGTTTCTTTGGAATCTTTTCGTCCATCTTGTATTAATTTAATTGTAGTCCCAAGTAGTGTCATATCGTCTGCAAAGTCAAGTCCGTCAGTCGGTTTGGTTTGTGCAACGGGATACCGAAGGTAATCGGATTCAGTACATTGACGATGACTTAAAGGAAGAGGAAAGGGGATACACCCCTGTCTGGATGTAAAAGAACTCCGCTGTTCCATCGTCTGTCTGACGCTTGACTTTATGATCACTCCTTTTAGTCAGTTTCAAAGACTTTTTAAAAACGTGATCGAACTTCTTTTTAATTAAACAGACTCAACTTTTATTAGTAAGCTTATAAACTTCAATGTAGATTATGCAGAATTACAAGTGTAATAATAATAACCAGTGATTCACAAACTGTGTTCCTCGAAACCTTAGAGTTCCTTGAGGCCTGAATAGGTGTTCCAGGAACTAATGCAAAAATTAACTAGTGAATTAATCTCTCTAAAAAAATAAGCCAAGTGTTCCACTAAATACTCAGAACGTGCGAAGTGTTCCGTTAAGGAAAACACTGTGTTCAACAATTTAAACCAAATAAAACGCATTTCAAAACTATTATCAACACATGTTCCTCTGCCTCTAAGTCTTAAACTCCACTCTGACTCTCATCAGCCGTTCTCTCCTATTTATTACCTAATGATCTTACAACTGTTACATCACAATCTATTCAGCCAATCGAAACACGCACACACTCATTGAGAAATTGCCAGGGGCAGTGTGGGAATTAATTTTACTTATTATTAATTATACAATGACTACAATTAACTCTATAAATAGGCCTATAAGATATATGTCAAACATGCACAACATGCTTTTCTTTCCCTATTACTTTCCCAGAAGAAATCTACACGGAGATTGTCAGTTGAAGAGTTTGAAACATCTTTCGAATTTATCACTACATAGAATGAGTTGCAAAATAAACTTTATAATGATTGTGTTCTTTATTTAAATAGTCATTACCATATCACTCCTGGAGGAAACTCCTTCAACAGTTGCTGTTAGGCAAAACAATGCTCAAAACTGAAACAGTATTTTTAGCGGCACCCAAAAGGAGAATAGCCGCTATAAGTTTTGTGTGGTCTGTCTGTCCGTCCGTCACGTTTAGATCGTAAAAGCTAGAAAATATCTTGAACATCCGATATCATGATAGTTTAGATCTTCCAAATTCAAAAATACACCATTTTTTACAACTTTTAAACTATTAATAGTTAAGAAGGGAGACTATATTATTAAAGGATTAAAGATTTTTGTATATTCTTGTAGTTATGTGATACATATGTATATTTTGTTTTCTAAAATAATGTTATGTAAATATTTGTATTACTAAATTTAGATTTTATGTTATACAAGCTACTGATATTTTTAGTAAATTATTTACTTTGGTATTAAAAGAGAGAGAATGCATTTTGTCTGTACATCAGCAGGACATATTTTAAAATAACATTTAATAAGCAAGGTTTCTATATTACCCACGTAAGGTGCAGTATAAATGTATATATGTATATACCTTCACATTTAAATTAAAGGGAGAGTCTTCTCCCGTGTGACATTTGACTGAGAGATTGGTCTCTTACAAAACCATATATTAGATAATTATTCAATAACATCAGTTAAGTAAGGTTAACATTGAACCATAGCTTTACAACCGAAACTTCGTTGAATACTTATGACTATTAAATTAACAATGTAATAATTTTGTAATAACTGAAGGGAGGCTACTCAATGAGACATAGATGTTTATTTACATGGAGACATGACAAACATGTAGAACAACATCTGCCTTGAACACAGCATCTTCATCTCGGTTCTACCAAACTTGGGCGGAAATCGTTCTCTCTCCTCTAATCATGTCAACATCCTTCCTCGTTTAGTCACTAATAGTGCGCACCTTCTGCACCGTCTTGGATGGCGGTGTGCATGGCGGGGGTTATACCAATATTAACATTTATATATCTCCGTACCCTGTTGTATCACGTCGTCCATCGGCCTAGCAATACACAAATATCCGCAACACTTCGATACGTACACTTCTCTTCTTCTTATAATGGTGGAGATGGTGTTGTGGTTGTTGATAGGAGATGGAATTGTGGTTGTTGATAGGAGATGGTGTTGTGATTGTTGATAGGAGATGGTGTTGTGGTTGTTGATAGGAGATGATAATGTGGTTGTTGATAGGAAATGGTGTTGTGGTTGTTGATAGGAGAAGGTGTTGTGGTTGTTGATAGAAGATGGTGTTGTGGTTGTTGATAGGAGATGGTGTTGTGGTTGTTGATGGTTTGTAGTTTATGGCTTCTGATATTCCTGCAGAAAACCTGCCCCTTTACCTGCCTGAGTGGACCACTTCGGGGCCGATTTTGAATGTGTGTTTAAACACAATGTTATTGTTACCCCATGTTATAAATTATGTTAATGTAATTTTATTGATTATGTATATATATATATATATATATATATATATATATATATATATATGTGTGTGTGTGTGTGTGTGTGTATGTGTGTGTGAAATAGACTATGTATATGTTTTTTTTAAAGATTATGTAGATTTAGATGTAGTTATGGAATCAGATTTTATCTATTATTGTTACTTTCTTCACTATTTAGTCTTCAAAAGTTTTATGTATAATTGCTACTTGACTATTTAGTTTTCAAAAGTTGTATCTATAATTGCTACTTGACTATTTAGTTTTCAAAAGTTTCATGTATTATTGCTACTTTACTATTCTGTGCTAGAGTGTTTTTAATTTTATTGCTTTTACTATTGTGTGGAGTCAATTATGACTAAAATCACATCTTTTTAGGTCTATTCTAGTTCGGGTGTTTGTCTATTGATAATACATGTATGTTCTTTTTGGATTAGCTAAAAGATATTTTATATATAAGTCCAATACAACTCACTCTCTGATTAAACAGATTATTTTTTAAAAGACCAAGACAACGAAATTTTATTTTATTTATAAATATTTATATTTTATACAAATTAAAAAAAACCAGCAACAACTAAAAAGCCATGTGTGAGATCTTCCCTTCCCCTTCCGAGAATTAATATACCAACTGCTGTTTGGCTTCGGCTAGTGTTGTCGCGATCAGAAAGAAAATGCATCGTTTGCTTCAGATTGTTGTACGTCAAAAGGAAACAAAATATTTTTAAAAATACTTTAGATTGGGAAAGAACCCCATACTTAAATCTATGTATGTTAATAATGTAGAAATCATTTCCCTTATTCGAAATCAAAGTAAATAGTTCATTACCAATAATTTATTGACTAATTTGTTAGATTGTTAATTGACACATCTTGTAGGTACAATAAATAATTGTTTAAAGTTTCAATTTGATTCGAAAATCGCTCTGCGAATGTCGAGAAATTTTATTTCGACGGGGGATGGAAGCAGGCAGGGTTTGAACCCTCGACCGTCGATAAATCCGAACGACAGTCCAGCGCGCAAACCGCACGACCATCATTGATTTTATTGACATATCGTTTCAGTACTAACACGCACGCGAAGCAAGTAGCATTATACCAGGAAGTGATCTATATGAATACACACATATACATTCGCCGCTGTCTCCAAAAAAGGAGAAAAACTGCATGTGTGTATGTGTTTCTTGTATCGGAGCTCATGCGTGCTATTGTAACATTATTTAACCAAACTCGAAATAAATTACTTATATTGAAAAGCAATGCAAGGGTAGGCCTGCTATCAGAAAGTGGATAGTTCTAAACTTGATTTGATAAGAATAAAGAACTTCTGTGGAAAAACATAAAATACATCTTAACTCTTTCTCTCCGTTATTATTTAACACGTTCTGATGGTATCAACGTTGGTATCGTCTGTTAGGAGAGAAAGAGTTAAATTAGTTCTTATAATTTGAAACAAGGAATAAAAGCGAAAAGTTGTGGTCAATCATCTTACTAAATGGCTCATGGATTATAATATAAAGGAAATGCTTCCACTGTGTTTCTTAAATTGACATTATGGGAAAAGCAGCTTATTTCAGCTATGTAATCACCGTAAGTAGCAACTGTTAATCTTGAAAACATTTACGAAATTATTTACCGTGTTTAGGAGAATAGTGACGCTCTAACTCCTCTAAGTGACATTATACTTTTTTAAAATGATAAATTCATTAAGAAATGAGAGCCTCACCAAACTGAACAAGATGCTGCCTTAGTTAAATAGATCAACTACAAGGTCTAGTTTTTAGAGATGGGCTGCGAGTAATTCTGTATGACGATGTAGCTAGTGAGCCATTGCTATATTGACATATCATAAAAATTGCCTAAAATCGGCAACATTTCAAAATGTTTTTATTGTCTTTTAAAAAAAAAATAGAGAAACAACATAGATCTACATTCTTTTCTCTCCTTTCTTGGACACCTACCTTCGACCAACATCCCTCAAGTATTTCCTTACTTTGGAATCTATCCCCACTCTTCATCCTTCTCTTCTCTACCTTTCCCTCCCCCAATCCCTCTTTTCTTTCAACCCCTAGGTATCTACTCCTCCCCCAATAATACTTCATTCTTTATATCTTAAGTAATATTCCCTTTCCATCAATATCATTTTTCTTTCCATTTCTATGATTCTACCCACCCTCCCCAAGATATCACTCTTATTTCCATTCCTATGATTCAGGTCTGTAGATTCAAATGTCACGAACTCTTGTGAACCAATGTAGTTTATAGATTCTGATATTCCTGCTGAAAACCTGCCCTTTTACCTACCTGAGTGGACCACTTCGGAGGCCGATTTTGAATTTGTGTTTCAACACAATGTTGTTGTTACCCCTGTTATAAATTATTTTTTGCTCTCATTATGCATGTATTGGAATGATGGAGTCCAGAAACTTAAAGGGTGATGGTATCAGCAGTAGGCCTACTAGTGATTTAGTAACTCAAAAGACATTACGCTTATTACTGAATTCGTAATATACATCATTTGTTTTACATCTTTCGGATGTTCCTTCAGAGTTGAAGATAATTTGCATCCTACCCCAAACCTCCCGCAGGACGACGAGGGATGGAAGCAGGAAAGGTATGAACCCGAGACCACTGAGACAACCGAAAGACAGTTCAGTGCACATACCGCACGACCAGGCAGCCATCCTACTTGAAAACGTGTAATAAAAAATATGTAAATTATAATAATAGACAAAATAGCAAGTAATTTTTTGTTTAAATTCACACAAGTTGAAACAGACTTAATTAAACAGACCTAATTAAACAGACATAAGTTGGATAACAAATAACTATTTTAAATTACCCCCCCCCCCAACTAAGTGTTTTCTGGGGTTTGGCCAAGCGCCAGACTTTTATTCTATATTCTAAATCTTGTTCGAGGGCGACATTTACGAGAGTAACCTTAGACGTGAATAACAATAGCACCCTCCCACCGATGATCCACCCATCCGAAAGAGAAATTGTGATGTCTCTTTAAGGTAGGAGCGTGACAAAGTAGTGACACCATAATGGGAGGCTTTCTTTGAATACTTGTGTCATACAAAAAGTAACAGTAAGTCGTTTGTTGGTGCGCAGGTAGAAAAAAAAAAGGTAGGTCTACCAACGGAGTGATTTACGACCTTCTTATTATTTAAAATACCGACGTTACTTTAAAAAAAGATAAAGTCCTAAGTGTATCCCTAGGTCAATCTAGTCATGCGTGTTAATGCTTGGCTTAAACTGTGCCAAGTCGTTGGTTTTCCTGGCTGGCTCATCTAGTCTTACAGTCACAGAGCAAACTAAATCTAGATTTTGACAATAAGTCAACTTGGGGTTGAGAATGCACGAAACAATCGCCCGTTATTTCTTGGCATGCTTAAGTGAAACAGTCGCTATTAGCTTTATGTGGTCTCTCTCTGTCTGTCACGTTTATAGTTCGATCGAATCTATTGGAAATCGTATGTCATCATATTTTGTAGTTTTGCTAAGTTTAGGAACAAAGTCTACTTTTGATCTTCTGATAGGGAAGCTTTATTTTTAAAAGATTACATTAAACAGTTTCCTCTTTTTTTTTTCACTTTCAAAACAATACATAAAAGACATAATCACAGACATATGTTATACACGCATATAATATTTACCAAAGATATTTTTTGTCGCGAAAGTAATTGCAAGCATTTTTTGTGACATTCACACATAGTTTAGTGATGTGACAAAATAATGTCAGGAACATTTTATGTCTATGCTCAGGAATCCACTAATATTCCTCTCTTATTTTCTCAATTTTTCCCAATCAACTTACGATTTTGTGGTCTAGATCTAGACGTAGGCCAACGAAGGTGCCACTACGAATGTGGGAACAGACTACATATACTAAATGTTGCCTTAAGTTTGATTTTTAAGAAAAAAGATTTCATTGGCAGTTGTTGGTTGTATTTAAAAGTATCACCCATTCACCAAAGATTTGGCAGTTGTTGGTTTATTTAAAACTATCACACATTCATCAAGAATCTTTTGTCGCTATCAATATCTCCTGTCATTGTCACTATGTAGAAATTCAACCAAACATCACCCAGGCTCTATTCAGACAGGCTGGATCGCTTCGTGCATGGGGATGTGGATGGCCACATGCAATTTTTCTTTGAATGAACATTTTGCATGAAGGGAGGCAGAGTTGTGGTTATTGGTAGTTTGCAGACATAAACATTGTGGGTGGTCGATTTAGATTTTCTTTTCGCCGTATACGTTTCGCCAGTGGATTTTCTTTTCGCCTCAAATGTGTATCCCACGGCCTTTGTAAGTTATCTCCAGTTGTCTCGTTCCGAAGCCGCCTGCAGTTACTGTATAATCTGTCTGTGGCATTTTACGTCTCGAGAGACGATCTATTCCCTTTGCAACTTCTTGTGTGACTAAAGAGGCCAAACCTTGATACACAGCTGCGATCGTATAATACTGCCAATAAAAACAACATACCATCTATATACTAACAATCATACGCTGTTGACTAAATCTGTACATACCGGTATGTTAGTGGGTTTTTTTTAAAACTTGTCATGCAAAGGTTAAATTAAATTGTATGCTACGTAGGACTATCAGCTTATAGAAAGAGTTGGTTTTCTTAGAGTAGAAGGATTTACTTGCCACTGAAACTACATTCATCTATCTCTAACAGCTTCTACTGATTTGGCTTGAAGGAGGTTTCATACAAGCGCGTAAGTCTAATATTTATGACGCAATTACAATTGTTAAAGTGTGTGTGTGTGTTTTGACTGATGCAATAAATGTTCTATGAATAAGATACCATTTCTATACACAGGATGTAGTGCATGTGCGGTGTCTATTAATAGGAGGGGGACAGCTGATGAAAGAGAAGACACACGTGAATACGGAATGGCGAAAACAAATGAATTAAATTGAGTTGAGAGATAATGGGGGTAAAAACTTAACAGAATTATTTTGTTATTCAATAAGTATCTTATCTTACTTCAAAGATGACTACGCGTGTCCTTGTCAATCTAGTCATGCATGTTAATCTATGACTTAAACTCTGTTACTGGTTTTCCCGGCTGAATTAGGCTATCCATTCCATGCTCTAATAGCACTATTTATAATAGCATTATTTATTTGTTACTTTACTTTAAGTCTTCTATCCTGAAGGGCCTCTAAATTTTATGATTTTATTAAACGTGTTACTCTAATCAAATTTGAAGATTCACTCATTGTGTATTGACTGATATTGAAAGCTTGTAGATATTTATTCATAAAATTTGAATTTATTTCGTTCATAAAAATAAACGTTTTCAGTCTTTGATTAAAATGTGTGTGTCAAGTGAAAACATATGCCTACTGCCCTACAAGATATGTATCAGTTATTTGAAGCTACAAGATGTGTTTGGGTTAGCTATCTGTAGCTACAAGATGTGTTTGGGCTAGCTATCTGGCACTTACAGATCATCACCGACCTACACAACGACACAGACTATTGTTGCACC